CTTGCCTGGAGCAAGAGAATTGCAGCACTAAGAACCAAGTTAGTCTTTCCTGAACTGTTTTTAGGAGATGCCAGCTGTCACTTTAGATGCAGCTCTGGCTCTTGAGACTGAGAGCTGAGGAATGTGCAAATACTCTTCTCACAGGAAACTTAAGGTTTTCTTCAGTTTTTTTTCCAAGCATATGATACATTTGTAACCAAGTCCAGATACAATTCATAATAAAATCCAATTGTGAGTTCTACTCCTGTGGCGCAAAATTGTGTGCAAAGAGAGACTCAGTGTTGCCTGGGCTCAGGAATGAGCCTGGAGCTGAAGGAATGAATGGGCATGGTCCTTTCTGCCAAGGAATTTCAAAATCTTGTGTGTTGTAATGGCTGACAACAACAGATGAGACTGGCTGAACAAGATTTAGTTTATGGTTTGTTTACTCCTGTTGTGCTTTTCTCTAAGCTGTATTTTATGATGAACATGTGTTACTTCCTTTTCTTCTAACAGCGTCTTCAGGAGGAAATCACCAAACTCTCTCCAACGCTGCAAAGAAATGCACTCTATATCAAATCTGTGAGTGGTACTTTCGTTGCTTTTTACGATTCTTTTAATTGTCAGTTTTCTGTTCCAAACTACAAAGTTACTGCTGCAACATTGTGTGATTTATGTTTATAAAGCATCTGAGTATCCAAGAAATCTAAAGATTTAAAAAAGGAGACCTTGTTTTATTCCTGTGGGTTTGTGTACAAATACATTCCCAGAACAGACTGTAATTTAGGACAACCAGTCTTAAAGGTAAAATAGATCTGTGAATATTTAAAGTAATAGCTTTTTCTAATTTTTTTTCTTTATAGTCCAAAATTAGTCGCTTGCCAGCATACCTGACTATTCAGATGGTTAGATTTTTTTACAAAGAGAAAGAATCTGTGAATGCAAAAGTTCTTAAGGTGAGTTTTCTGCATATTGAAGTTTAATTCCTCTTCATGTTTTCTGTGAGTTTTTATTAAAGGTAGACAACAAGGACTTGAAGACTACTTACTAAATTGTTTGCTTTTAAATTGCATTTAAAAACATTAACAGTGCAGTTTCTTTGCTCAAGTTCCAAGTAGTTTTGTTCCCAGTTGTGATGGTGTGTGGCACACTGCACTACCCAAAATAGACTGAGGAAAGAGGTGAGGGATTAAAGTGAATTTACCCCAGTATCGCTAATGTTACAGGATGACAATAAACAAGATATTTCTTTGGTCTTTTCTCATCAGTGGTTCTGAGAAGAATGTTTAACTAAGGAGAGGGCCGTGCTTTCAATCTCTGAACAGTGTTCTAATCTTGATGAGAGATGCTTATGCTGTCAGACACTTCCTGTGTTAGTTATTTTTATGGTCTAGCTTTCTGATGGACAAATGCAGGAACCAGCTGCAAACAGCTGAATGTTCTGGCTTTGCTTTCTGTTGGCCATGGCTGACAGACCTCATAGGCTGCCTGAGGAGCATTGAGATAGATGCTCCTTCCTTACAAGAGGAAGAAGGGAAATAAAGACTGATGGTACATGTCAGCTATTTCAGAAGTTAGTTTGGATAGCACAAATTGACATTTTTGCCAGAGTACAGTCATTCTACACACCTGCCTCTTTTTTTCTTTTCCTTTAGGCCTGTATAAGTATTTCTGTAATGTAAAAGTATAACAGCTAACAATAAAGAATCTGATTTATTAATTATTAGTCTATGCGGAACATAATTATTTATGGTGGTTTGTTTATACTGAATTAAACATTCTTCTGTGAAAGCATTGTAGCCCTTCTGTTAAATACTGTCACCAGAATCCCAGTAGGTCAGGTTGCCATCAATTTGAAGAGGGTTGCAATTAATTTGACTGTGTTGTCTTCCCATGGGAGAATGCTTTAACACTGAGTACCAAATCCAGCTAATAAATCTTTGTTTTTAACTTCCTAGGATGTCAAATTTCCTCTGATGCTGGATGTGTATGAGCTGTGTACACCAGACCTGCAGGAAAAAATGGTTTCTTATCGATCAAAATTCAAAGATCTAGAAGACAAAAAAGTAAATCAACAGCCAAAGAATGTAGGTCTCCTGACACTTTTACTAATTCATACATCTGAAATTGGGGTACTAATAAGGACTAGAGAAAACTTGATATATTTATTTTATTTTTATATCTTTAAATATATTATTTTCTTACACAGCAAACTCCTTAATTGAGCTTTAGCTGTTTTTGTCCTCTATTTTCATGAAGATATAGCATCTGCTTTGGTGTGTTTGCTTGATGAAAAATGGCAAATGCTGTAGTCAGACAGCATGTATTAAATATATTAAAATGTAGTGCTTCTGGTTACCAGTGCTATGCCTAAAGCTTTTCTGTAAGTTACACAAAATTATTCTCTTCAAATATTACTGTTTGCTGGCTGCTCCCTTTTTCAGTGGAGTGTAGGAAGCTGTTCCCTGCTCAACAGTTGGAAAGGGTTGTACAAGGCACTGCTAGGAAAAATTAAGAGTATGTGTACTGTTGAGCTTAAAATCAGTACTGTAAAGACTTAGAAAATGGTTTCATGTCTTATCCCGTCTACGTAATTCTAACACTGATTTCCCCATCTTTAATGAAGACAAAAGTAAATGAGCTAGAACTGTAGTGTTTTAGCCATTTTGTTAAAGTTTGCTGGTATTTTTCCTGGCCTAACTCCTGGCAAATTCTTTGAAACATTTGGATGAGGCTTGCATCCCCTCTTACACAGATGGGAGCAAGGAAAGAGTGCTATTTTTGAACAGAATGTATTGGCACGGAGAGTCTGTCTCTGGTATTTTCTTACTGCCACTTCTGCTGCTAGCGAGCCCCCACCAAGGAATAAATCTTCAATTGCAGAATTGTTTCATAAACAAACCCATAAATCTCATGGGTGGACACTTCAGGTGGTATGAGCTAAAATGGTTATATATTTGCTTTAAAACTGGTCTTCAGATAAGGCTTTTGTGTGTCCACCTAAAAAATACAGTTTGAATACAACTTCATCTTCTTGCAAGTTGAACAGAAATATTTAGACTTAGAAATGTTCTTAAATGAATGGAGACTTGGGATTGGATACGATTGTGCTACAGCTTTTATTAACTGTTCCACATTAATTCAACTTACTCTCTTTTTTAGTCTAGTAAAAGTGATGGTGCACAGAAAGAAGTTAAATATGAGCCATTTTCTTTTCCTGATGGTGAGTACAGGGAAGCAAATCTACTTTGAAGTAACTTTGTATTTACTTGTGTCAGGTGTACCTGATGGCAGGAATATTTTGAGAACCCTGGCCCTTTAATGCTTTTGAAAATTAATCTTCAAAGACTGACAGGAATGGAAAGATTTAGGTAAACCAAAACGCTGAGATAGTGAAAGGCATAATTGCCATCCATCTGACAAGTTGGTGATCATAGAAGATGGGCACACAAAGACATTTGCATGTAACATGCAGTTGTTTCGCACGCTGCCTTGTCAGTGGGTGGTAGAAGGCTGAAATCACAACAAAAACTGGACTTTTAAAAGTGCTGTGCTGGTGTTGCCTCAGTTTTGGAGGGGGCGGGGCTGGGAGCCTGAGGGCCCAAAGCACTTACCCTGTGCATTACATCAGTAATATTTATGGGTACACATTTATTTCAAGAGAATGCACAGCGTCTTCAGTTTCCTGAGACTCTCCTGGCTGAGAGCTGCTGCTTTTAGTTCAAAATGGTTTCGTTCCATGCTGTAGCTGGGGTTTTTACACACACAGCTGTGGTGCTGAGGCCTGGCTGATGCATCTTTGGTTTGCGAGCTGTTAAAAATACTGCAGATGTTCAAGCAGGACTCAACTTTTTCTTACCTTTTCTTTCCCTTTCAGATATTGGTTCTAACAATTGCGGCTATTACGACCTGCAGGCAGTGCTAACTCATCAAGGCAGATCAAGTTCCTCTGGGCATTATGTGTCTTGGGTCAAAAGGAAACAAGGTAAAAAAACCCAAACCAAATTGCAGCCTGCTAACCACTCTTCACAGCTCCTTTCAGCAAAGGGGTTGTTAAGCAAGCTTAGATATTATGTACCTAACTTACAAATGATCCTCTTGTTTTCCTTGCAGATGAGTGGATTAAATTTGATGACGACAAAGTCAGCATTGTTACACCTGAAGACATTTTGAGGTTATCTGGGGGTGGAGACTGGCATATAGCTTATGTTCTACTCTACGGGCCTCGCAGAATTGAAGTCGTTGAAGAAGCAGCTGAACAATAGTCTTCCGTTTTAGCCATTCTGCCTAGGTGTGAAATAAATGTTGATTACTGATCACTTCTTTAACCCCAGAGCTTTAGCAAGTGGATAAATAATTTGTTCAAACCTTCTCATGTGCAGAGGGATATTGTTTTAAAACTGATCCATGTACCAATTAGACACTATTGGACTGGACTGCCCATTGTGGTGGTGACAATACTTAAAATAGCTTTAATGTCTTGCAGAAGGTAATTTTTTTTTAATGAGCCTCTCTTCCTCCTTCTTCTCTAATGTCATCAAGTATTTATTACACACCTACTCTCACATTTGTTACTCTTGCATGGTTTATACCACAGTTCAGTAGCTGTCCATCCTTTGCCTTACCTGGCAGTTCTGTTAGGAAGGTAGAAGAGAAACCGTTGCCTTGTTGTGTAACTCAGTGCTGCTGCCCATAGACAACAGCTGTGGCTACAATCAAGTATTTGTCCAGCCTGACCTGCTGATTCAGTCTCTTCTGTTGCTGGCATCTCATGATTTCAAAATGAATTGTGATCAACAATGTGTCCATTAAAAACAGCTCCTGTCCTGGTACTGTAGTCAGTATGCGTTTGTTTTCACTTCTTGGGCCACCACGGATGAATGTCTCAAAGCAGTCATGGAATAAAGTTAACTTTTTTTTTTTTAAGCTGTAGGGATGTGTCTCCTGTCCTGTTACTCTTTACTCAGTAGCTAAGTCCAGTGTGGTGGCTGCAAAATTGGGCTTTGCTTACAGGACCTTCTGCATAACTAAATGTGTGTGACTGCAGTAAAGCCTTTCAGCGCTGGCTCCAGCCCAAAAAGCACTATCAAGGTCATCAACCCCCTCAGCTCTTGATGTGCACGTTCCCAGTGTTGATGTGTCCCAGTGCCTTCTGGAAGAGCTGTCCATACTCCTATGAACTACTTTTGTTGGCAGGGTAGTGAGTTTGCCTGTGCCTCACTTGATGAGAAGAGGTCCTTTACCCTTCCCTGGGGACACTGCCATCAGCTGTGGCCATCACACATGTAGCTCCTCTGCCTTGCAATTGTTACTCCAGTGCCACCTTCCCTGCACAGCTTCACCTGGGAGCACACCAAACACCCGGGCCTGTAGCGTATGTGGCATGATGCTTAAAGGCAAGTTCTGCCCATGAAGGAGGCCCTCCCCAACAGCACTGGCTCTGTTCTGCTGGCCCCACGGAAACATGGGTTAAATTCTCCAGGGTTAAATTCTTGTTCTGCATCCTATTCCAGTGGAAGGAGAGATGGTGCCTGTGTTTGGTTGCTGCTCTGTGGAACTGCATCCTCCCACTGCCATCCTCTGCTTTCCCAGCACTGAAGTTGTCAGGCACACCTGCACACCTCCACTCACAATATGCTCAAGTCCCTTAATCAGGTGAAACTGTTGAAGTTCATACCTTCTGCCAACCCCTACCTGCAGCAGGAGCTAAAACCTGCACTGTTATTTCCAATAATTTTCCTGTATCTCTGCCTCACCAACCTTCGCTGAGGCACCCTACTCAAATTCCCAATCACATTTAAGTCCAAAGTGGGGCAGCAGGCACAAAAGTCACCAATGGCTCTGCGGGCAGGAATGCTCAGGTGGTAGCTAACCATGCTGAAAATTCACAGCTGAGTGAATAGCTGAAGAGGTACAGAGTTCAGTGGAAGTTATTTTCCAAACACTGACCTATCAGAGTGATCTTGCTGAATGACAGAAACACTACACAAACCTGCCACAGAACAAGTTGTAGCCAGCTGCCACTTAACACCACAAAAACCTCTCACATTTTGAGGGAAAACAGCTTGTACCCATCTTACAGACAACCATGGCCTTAAAATAAAACCTTCAGAGTAACCTGTGACAAAAAAAAAATCTTGGTTTACCAGGACTCAGGGGTGTTCCTACATAGCCAAAGAATGAGAAGATAAAAATAATCACTAATTAAAACATGATCATTGACTGAACCAGTGCTTCAATGGGAGAGCGGTACAGCACTTCTTCCCTGGAAGTCAGTTTTGTGCCTTGGAGTGCCATCACAACCCTCTCATTTTACCTCTACCAGGCAGGGTTTGACAGTGCTCAGCTCCCATCACCCCAAAGGGTGACTCCAAAGTCCTTCACACACAGTCCTTCCCTGCTGTGTGGAACAAGCTTGCCAATTCTCTGTCCAGCGGAACTTACCTGAGTTCTGCTGGTGCCAAACCGTTCCACAGCCTCCCCCAAAAGCTGCCAGGGCTCTTCATCCTCCCCTTTATGTTCTACCACCAAAGGTGAAGCTTCCGAGTTCCAGGCCAGGGCAACTAATCCTTTCCTCAGACAATGTGGACAATCCAACAGTATTATTAAAAACCTTTTTATCATTTACTGAACATAAAATACCTATCAAAAATCTGTTACCTAGCAACAAAAGTAACAATGATCAATGGCAAGCACCAGAAGAGTCACAACTACCAACACCCCCAGCCCCAAGTCAGTCAGTTGGCATCTGAGGCGAGTTAGCTGCTGCCTTCGGTGTCGTTGGTGAGACTTTCGGCCAGGTCCCCAAGCCCAGCTTTGGTCAGCGCTGTGATCAGGTTCTCAGGGGTGGCATGAGCACCCTCCTGATCCTGCCAGGCCACCAGCAGCTGCTTCGCTCTCATCTTCACATCCTCGCTGTCCAGCTCGATCTGCCGGATATCAGATTCCTTCATCTCCAAGTAGGGGGCCAAGGCCTTCCACTGCTCCCCCAGCCTGTGCGCGAAGGACTCGATCTGCTCGCCCGTCATGGCTTTGTCCCGCTGCACCTCTGGACCTGGGGAAAACAGAAGGAATCAGTGAGACACAGGGAACATTTCCAGACACTGCTAATGAATTGTCCCTGATCTGCCCCATTTTAAATCCTCTGTTTATTAAATGACCTTTCCTTTAGCTTTTCAAACCTACTCGAGCTCTGAGAGCAGATTTTTACAGGTGTTCACTGGATTTCAAGAGCAACGTCCCTTAATGCCCAAAATAAGGAAAATCTCACTTTTTTTAATCTCCTATTATACTGAGAGAGAAGTGTTAAAGTCTTAATTACATCAGAATTGCCTTCTCCAAATGAAAACAAGGATTTTGACAGGCAGACTACAGTTTTCAACACAAATCACTTATAACATTAAAATACAGAGTGATCTTTAACATTTAGCTATGTTTTGCAATATTTTAGTCACCTTAATCAAAGTCAACCCAGGTAAAAACAACCAAACAAACCAACCCAGTTTCATTCCCTTCTTTCTCATGTTCCTATTAATAACAAGGCTGTGACAGTAAATTTCATGTGTACTCAGTACTTTAAGGAATTTTCTGTCATTCTGGCATTGACATAAAAATCATAGAACACTAGTCTCTGCCGAGAAGCAAAGTGCTGTAGTGATTACAGATGGATTTCCACATTCATAGCTTATCATGGTCTGTGGCTTACCATCCATGTTTATTTCACAATTTTAAAGAAAGAAACACCAAAGATTGAATTATGTAGAAAAATTAATCATGCTTCTAATTTTTAATAAAATATAGATATTTTATAAAAAATTAATCTCTTATTCAAAAATAGTCTCTTCTCATGCCACCTGAAGAGACAGTTGGCATGGAGTAGAAGTTTCAAGAAGTTTCAAGACTCTCTAGAGACACTCATTTATCTGAACTAAAGTCACATTGAGGGGAAAGGACAAAAGATGCAGAACAACAAAACAATAAAAACCCTCAGATCACTTCCCTTTATGTCCAAGCTCAGCAGACCACAGCTCTGCCATCGCTGCTTTAAGACAAGATTTAAAGATGTAAATCCCACACAGTGACACCCACAAAGGCTGTGTGAATTAGCATCAAGCTGAAGAGGAAAGAACTTCTCTACTATTGGAAAGGAGACTATGAGGAAGGTCAAGTGCTGGATGGAAAAGGGCAGCGTGAGATTCACCCACAGGTGGCTTTCCACTGACAGAAAGAAGCTTGCAACAAAGGTGCCAGAGGTACCCAGTGTTTGGCTTCCATGCCCTGCATATCCCATCTGCCCATGCTGGATCCAGGAGCTGGCACACAGGGTTACTCCACGCGAGTGAGAATGTGCTGTGAGATGAAGGCATGAATGAGGATGGAAGAGGGCAGATTCACAGACAAAGGAGATGGGGAAGGACACCTAGGAGCAGGACATGACAGGATTAAAGGCAAGAGGCAAACAGGAGTGGATTGTGGAGAAAAATGAGTGAGATGATGTTTGCCAGGAAGGCTGCTCTTCTCCAACAGAACCTTTTGCCTTTAAGGTATTTTAAATGAAAAGGAAGTAAAGATCTGAGAGTTGGAATATATAAATTTTTGAAAGTCCCACAGCTACCAGGAGGGGCTAGGGGAAAGTGCTTACCCCAGTGATTAAAGGGCAGAGAGAACAGGAAAGTGGGTGAGGAGCGCTCACACAGACTTCTACACAGCTGACATTTGAGCCATGAACATCCAGTGACACTGGCAACATACACCACCATAGCAGAAAAGGTGAGAGGCTCCTAATGAAAGTGCTAATCCAACAGGTTGATGCTTTCAGCACTGCAGGCCAGGACACTGGGAGGCTGCTCCTGGTGCCCCATGTCCCAAAAAGGCTGCGCTTTTTGGTGCAAATGCATTGGGGTAAGCAGGACTGATGTCCTTCAGTGGAAACTATGTTAAAACACAGATTCTACAACACACATGAAGAGAAAAACTGGAAAGACTGAGAATATGCAAATCTTACTTTCATTGTTTTCCTTTAATAAAGCATCATTATCTTCCTCATCTTCATCTTCACCTGTTTTTATTTCTTCAGACGGAGGCTACAATGAAAGAACTAAACATCACTGGATGCATTTTGTGCTGTGTTGCCTCTGGAATGTGTGTTACAATGGAAAGTCTGAGATGGTCCCATATGAGAAAAATCCCTCAGAGTCTTCTAAACACCAGTAAGCTCTAACAGAGCATATTACTAACTAAAAAACCTCATAAAAGCATCCACTGATTTCACAGGATTCTTCCTTTTCACAGTAACAACAACCAAGCATTCCATAGTGAGTTTTATCACTTGCTTAAAAAAAACCCCAGCCAGCCAAATTTAAGACCACTACCAACTAACTTTTTTTTTTTAAAAAAATCATTATTATTGTTATTCACTAATTTTATTCCACACTTGTGAATTCCCCAAAGTTTATGTACTTTCAGATTTCTGGAAGGTGGCAAACAAATATACAACCAGCAAACTTTTCATTCCCTCATTTAGCTACTGATCAGCCAAAAGGTTTCATCTTTTTCTATATTTAAGCCATGGCATTAGGTACATAGTTGTATTTTTTCTGAACTTGCTATTAGCACAGTTAACTCTGATGGCTGGACAAACAAAACAACCATATATTAAAATCCAACCTTTAGACCTCACATTACACAGAAGGCAGGTCTCAGGAGAGGAGCAGGGGTTTGTATCTGCAAGATGTTGCTGGGTTGTGTGCTAATTCAGAGGTGTACAAAGTGCCCCTTCCCCACTGGCAGCCTCTCATCACTGTGTCTAGAGCGATCTGAAAGGCCCCTCCCTAGACTCCAATTTGTACTGTTGACCAAGCAAAGGGTTAATGCCTTAATTTTACAGCTCCACAAGGTTTATTCTTGTTCTGCATATTTTAGAAGTCAGGGAGCTGATAGAAGAACTCTGGCAAACCTTGCTGTAAAGCTCTGGTAACACTTAGCACAGCACCTTCAGCTGCACACGCTGCCTCTTCTCCTGCCATCCCACTATATTCAAGAGCCATGATTCTGGCTTATACCTTCCATAAAACTGGTCTGCACTGCAACATGGAACCCAAGCAGCTGGGTTAATACATGTATATGTGTATATATTCACACACACATACAAATAAATATATATACACTTATGCCTACCAATTGGATTGCCACAGCTGGTTTTTTTCACAGAGCATGAGGCAGGGCTCAACAGATACTAGGTTAATCAATGTTATTCTGTTTATTGTTACTGGGATCTTTAGAGATTAGACTAATTTTATTTGTAATTTTTACTTCAGTGTACAAACCTTTTTCCTGGCTTTTTTTTCCCCCCCCCCTCTGTCTCTGTGTACTAAATGGGCTGCAGAGGGACAAGCAGAAAGTGAATAAATTTATCATTTGTTATTACAGGATAGTATTACTTACAGGCAGCTCCTTGGCTAATTTGATTACCATATTTTCTAGATATTCAGGTAAACTCTTGAATTGTTGGTTTGTTGGCTGGAAGAAGTGGGGACTTCTGCGTGCCAGGAGTCTCAGTGCTCTCCAGCCATAGTTAGAATTGTTCACAGCCCTACAATAAAACACAAGTTTGGTTAGTAAAGTCTGGCATCTATAAAGCACAGAAAAATATTTGAGACATTTAGTAATATAATTCTGTTCAAATTTAAACAGTTTTTGTACATTTCTGGAGTTCTACACAGATACTAGTAATGCTGAGAACAGTCTGCTTTCTTTTAACAATCCAAACATGAAAGACATTAAAATCAAGTGAAACACAGCAGAGATGGACATACTTATATTTATTTTCAACCATGTTTTCAGGGTCTGCTTGTTCTATAGCTTCTTCAAAAAATTCCTCCAGTGTTGGCATATACTCCCTAAAAAAAAAATCAAATAAGGAGCTTAATATGCTTCACAAACTTCTCTAAAATAGTCTTTGTTCCTTCAGACCCATCTCAAGCTCATCCACTGAAGAGAAAAAACAATCCCCAAACCAACCCACTTAAATTTAAGCATTTTAAATAAGAAAAGAAAATGTCTGATACATGTTGCTATAAAATTATTTACTGCATAACCACTAGAGTGTGCCAGCAGTTGCTAGCACTGCCTATTATATACATTTAAACCTCTTTCCACCTCTTCCATGAAAGAGGTGACATCAACATCTGTCAAGAGCATTTGCACCACTCACAGGAGCTCAGGGGTCTAAAATGGTTACTAGTTTTGTGCCATTTGACAGCATCAGTAAAACATGGCTGTCCCTAAAAACCCCCACCTCAGTTTCATCTGCTCTTAGAACCACTCGTGGTTGGTTCTGACAAGTACTCAAAGCAGCACAAAAGGAACCCTGACCTAAAAACAGAACAGAAATGAAATTTCACACCATCAGGACAGTTTGCTGCTGAGAAGACTCTAACCAAGAAACACAGATTGTGTAAGAGCTGTAAGTTACTGAGAGCCAAGACTCAGTTGTGCAAAGCAAGCTTGTAATGATCTGTATTTCTCCTACCTAATGCTGACAGAGACACACCTGCTTCTGCAAGGGAGTCTAGTAAAGGGATGGAGCAGGGGTGAAGCACCACTGGTCTATAAATTTGCTTCAATTTTGTTTTAAAAAAGGCATTTTGCCCAGGGCAAAATGGTGCCCCATGCATCATCACTGACTACTGGAACCAAAGCCAGCACCTTGAAAACCCATCTGAGTCCTGCCATATTATCCCCAGAACAACCATCTAAAAAGGAGACAGCTAAGGAAGTATTACCCCATTTGAATGGAGATGTGAAGAATCAAAGCAAAAAGCTACATTCACTTGACCACGTATAAAGCCCTTAGTAAAAACTTGGAACTGAATCTGGATGCCGCCGGATCTATTTCCGGTTTACCATGGCATGCATTTTATTTGTTTATCTCCATTTAAGGGCTTTATTTATTTTTATTCAAAGACATTGCAGCACAATACAATCACACACAGGGAACCAAAAGCTTTGGTCCCAAACACAACTCCACCTGCATCCCTTGGCCTAGTAAAGGCAAGTATCCTGTCAAAGGCCTTCCTGCACATCCCAGCCTCACAAGAAAGGAGAGCACTTCCTTTGCAAAGCTCTAAACCTCTAGAAAAGCAATTCCTCCTCTCAGGATAGCTGCACAATTAGCACCTGTACCCAGGCAACCAGACTTTACTACAGCCACTACTAGCACAGTTCTCTTTTGGAACTGTCCCATCCCTTCTCCAAATTTTCTTACTCTGTATCATGTCTGCACAGTAAAAGATTTTGGTATCTGTAACAAAGAATGTTGCATAGCAGAGTACATTTTAAGTATTTCCCACAATTGTGCGAGCATAAGGGACAACCAATAATTGCATTTTTCTGTATCTGCCCCATGAGTAGACCTTGTATGTACTGGAACAATGCCTGTTTCCTCTTATCTAGCATTGTTTAAAGCACAGGCCTGCTTAAATAATATAGCCAAGTAGCATGCTAACTTCATCAGAGCCAGACTTGGCAATCTTCCTTCACTATATAAGGCAATTAATTATACAATCAAGCTTTACAAAAGGGGAGTTTCCATCTGGTTTTCAGCTTAGATTTTACTTTACTAAGCAATGAAAATTACTGACAGCATAAACACTCAAAGAAGTGAGGAGAACTGTAAGATTTCAAGGCAAAGATTCATATAACCACCCTCTCTCAAGAAGGTGTGAAATGCACACCTCCTAAGATCATTTTGTACATCTTCCTTATGCCAATTTTGTAACTGTCTAATTAAAGTGCTAATTAGTTAGCTTTAGACAATGACACACTCATTTTTTACCTACCTACTCTCAGATTTACAGGCTTCCATGTTATCAGGACATAAATTCCAAAGGCGGGTCAGTTCCTCACTGAAAAGCATAAACACACATTGTTTATGTTCATCATTCTACCATTCCACACTTATAGACTGTTTTAAAGGGATCTCTAAAAGATGGTTATAAGGAAAGAAAGCCTGCTGCAAGTTTTAAAAGAATGATATAACCTTTGGATGTTCTTTGGCAGTTCCAAAGTAAGGATGTTTGAAAATTGCTGCATAGAAAAAACAGTGGGGGAAAAAACCCCAAACACAGAACCCCCTTAACCAACTAACCAATCTAAACCCAGAAATTCTGTAAAGGAAAGACAACCCAACATACTTCCCCATAAGGATTTTTTTGTTTGATCCTTTTCCTAAGAAGTCCTCTGGAGCTGGCCTCTTCCTCATAGGCCTCATCGGCTTAGAATCAGGAGGTCTAAAGAAAAAATAAAGTTCTTTAGTATCAAACCAGTAATATCTCAAGAACAAAAAAGCTATTTCACCTTTCACCTTGAGATGGTGCCAAGTTACAACATACTGAAAGGACTGAAGGACAGTGAATCTAATAGTTGAAGGAGGCAGTGGGGAAGAGGAGAGAGAAGAAAGCAGAGATACGGAAAGGATTCTGCCAGACACCAAAAATAGTTAACTCAAAAATGTAAAGGTCTACCAGAGTCCCAATAAAGAGAAGGAAGCGAATCACATTTGTGACAGCAGCACATGATCTACCCTGCTGCTGGGATCATCTGCTCTATGATTGCAAGGTCTCTTTCCCCAGCTGCAGCTGATTTCATGGGATCAAAGAATGGAGATCCCAGAGCACTGAGGTTAGGGCAAGACCTACCCAAGCTGAAACTCTGGATGAGATCTAAAGGAGACAGAATATTTATAAAAGTCAAGTTTCATAATTTTACTTCCCCACAATCCCCCTGCAACAGTAATTTCTCTCTTCTAACAGCCCCCCTCCCCTTTTTTTGCAAACAGCTGAAGTCATGAAGAGGTGGCTGCACCTCATCTCCCCACTAAAAGAAGATCTCCAAAGAGATAATGACTCAGATGCTCCTTCCCACAAAAAGGCCACAGTCTGTGTGTACAATGAAGAAGGGTAGACGACAAATGTTCGGTCATCCCCTCAAGATAGTCAAGTAGACACATGGAGTCAAAGTTCAAGTTTTGCCACTAGTTAGTAACTAATAACACAGGAAACTTTCAGTGGTGAAAGCACTAACCACTTCAACCTAGGGTCTGCTGAAAGCAGGACGGGACAAAACCTGCTTCAGCCTCCTGGACCACTGGATCCTCAGTACCACAAAACGTTGCCCTGAGACAATGAGGAATGCTCTTCTGAGAGCCCACACACCCATAACCACTTCTTCCCTGACACACCGCAATCCTTATGATTTTTGGCAGAAATCTAGGAGCCTTCTGCACTCACTGAAGGAAGGACTACTGTACAGATCGCCCAGTTGTGTGAGTGGTTAATGGTCATATGCACCATGGGTACCACATTCTGAAGTGTAACCACCAGTTCAAACAAGCAGCAGAAAGCTTCTGTTTTGTAAATTACCTTTCTTTCACAAAGCTCGGGCAGCCCTCATTTTTCCACGAGTTCCAGTTTTCTTCAGTATTTAATATATGCTGTATAAACACATAAAGCATTACAGGTTATTAGGGTCACAAGCACTTTCAGAGCTGACCCCTAAGTTTTAAATTGAGCTATTAAAATTAAGGGGAAAACTTTGTTCTAGGTTGTGTGTTTCAGTCACTATCTTGAAGATTATCAGTATAATCTCAGACAACTGGTTTAATTTACTCAAAAATAGTACAACTCCTCTCTTCAAAAATTGTAGGAAAGGCTTTATTTCTCCTGGTCTAGACAAGAAAATAGATGCAGTCAAAGTAAAGGAAAAAAGGAAAGAAAAAAGACAACTTCTTAGGTTTTAATTAATTTCACTTGCATTTTATTTCCATGCCTTTGGGCACAGGACTCCTATCAAAACTCTTTAAATATTTTTTGCTTTCCAATAGCCCATCGTCCTGCATATACACATGCACAAACAGGCTTATTTCCATTTCTCCCCAGGAAAAGGAAGGAAGAAAAGAGTATTAATGAAAACATGGGATAAAATACGACTACAAAATAAAAAGACATTATAAGACCTTTTTATACTGGGATGAGGTAAAAGCTCTCTCAGACATAATGTGTGTTCCAAAAGCTACTTCAAGCCGAAACTGCTTTTTTACGTGCTATATAGACTTTGTTGAGGCAGGCATCAAAATACTCACCTCTACCATTTTTGAGAATCTTTCCCCATCTGGAGGATTTTCTGAAAGAAGCTATGAATGGGAGAAAAGAAGATGACTGTTCCACATTACATCTGTAGAAGAATATGTAGGAGAGAAACTCCAGAGAAAATGGTGGTTACTGCTTCAAAGGTGGTTAATGCAATATTACATGCTTAATATTCTTCCATGTAATATGAAAGTAGATACTGTACCAACCTGGTAGACTGCTTTTGTAGTATCTTCAATCCAAAGAGACTGTTCATCTGTTAGAACATAGTTTGAACTGGAATTGAAAAACAAAACAACACATCAGAAAGTGTGCTGAGGACAAATAATTCACACAACATACCTTCTGAGTTAGAGGGAATCTGAGGAAAGTGCTTTGAATATGATCTGCTCTGGTCCCAGGGACTGACCATTTTTTACTTTGTAGAATTAATTAGATGTGTTTGGGGACTATACTTTCAGGGTGTAGGCTGACCCAGTAGGAAGGCCATTTGAGTGATTCAAGATCACACCTTGATGTTGGATCCAAAACACAGCAAATGGGCACAATGAAAAGATTTACCTCAAAAACACTAACCAAGTGTTATACACCATTTTTATCTCATGACATCCTTCACACCAGTAAGTGACTGTTTATAATAAACATTTTAATGCTTTGACATTGAAATGACTATTACCTCAAAAGGACTGAACTGCAATTCAGAAGACCTGAATTCCATTCCTTCTCACCCAATTGACTGCCTTGATAAATAATCTGTAGAATTAGGATAATGATCCTAACCTCATTTACAAAGTTCTTTGAGAGCTGTTTACAAAAAGCAATATATAGCAGGTGGGAGACAGCAGCCTTGTTAAGGATGTTAATTATTATGTGCACACATGGCCCAGGGCACAGGAAATGAACAGAGAGAAAGGATTTTCTTCAGAATAACATTAGAGACTAGGAACAGATGGGGTTTGGTTCTATCCCTTTAATTTATAAGAGCAACAATCACCATTGTTATTTCTTGCCATTTTGGACAGAGTTCTGCAGTACACTAAGGAAAAAAAAAATCAGTAACCAGTGCCATATTGCAGAGTCTGTATAGATAAAAAATGATATCACACACAAGTACCTTGCACTGGTCTAACAACTTGGTGCTGCCAAGGACAGTCCCTTTCCCTCTCATGGTTGGAACTCACTGTAAGCAAGTTTTAATGGCCTCTACTTCTCTGAGACCCCACAACTCACCAACCTGGCAGAAAACTTACTCTGCAAAGATGAGCAGATTGGGTTTTTCCCTGTATAGTAAATGGCACAAGTTTGACTAAGTCCAATGAACGCTAGAGCAAGGTAGGGCAAAGAATCAGGCAGAGGAACAGAGAAATGAATGAGACCTCTGCTTTCCTGCTGTAAAATAACTTCAGTCACACCCTGTATTTACCAATCCAAGGCTCCAAGTCCCACAACACCTCAGACTAAGTAGGTAAACTGTTTTAAAATATTTTGGTTTACCTCCAAGTTCCTAATTCCCCATCCACAAAACACAAAATATTTTCATATTACCTTTTAAATTTGACTTGTCCCTTTAGATACTGAAATAATATTAGGTACTGCAACAAGATGTGACGACGGAAGTTACTGTCACTCAGCTGTAAATCCATCAGCTAAACAACAAAAAAGCAACAGATCTTTAAATATTTACTCTCTTTTAACTTATTTTTCTAAAGGCAACATTAGAAATTAAATCAAATAAACTAACGGCAGCTTTATTGAGGACTTATTCCAGAAATAGGAGCCCCCCAAGTCATCAATTAACAGAGGCAACCCACAAAGAATAAAACAGAAAAAGGAACAGAATAAATCTATCTAAATAAAGTGGCCAAACAGTGTAATGGGATACCCAGAGAAACTGTGGACTTGCGACTGCACACAGTGCTGATCAACTGTTCAAGCTGAGAGCTTTGAACAGAGCAGCTGAACCAAACATAGGTTCCTTCCAACCTCAATTAGCCTGGGATTCTGGAAGGGAAACTACATACCTTTTCACTGGTTAGGAACTTTGCAAAATATACATGTTCTCCTCCTGTTTTTAGTTCTTCCAACTTTTTTCGGGAAGCCTGGGTGTCGTCCAATTTGTAACTTTTGAAAACAGCCAAAACTTCTTCTGAGTACTATAAAACAGAGTTATTTACCACATGAAAATAATACTGAACCTTTGTAGTTAGAGAACTATACCAGACTTAAAGCCAAGAAAGTAAAATAATTCGTAAACTTGTATCAGCACATTGAAACAACACACCTGTTACTGATGGGTAGGACCTCTCTGAACACCAAAAATGAAGTGAAAGCATTATCATATCAGAACATTTAATCATACAGAATATTTAAAGCATGCTAAGAAAAACAACATTTTGGGTTGTGAACAGTGCTTTGTTGTTTAGACATCATGAAGATAAAAGGTTCACATGATGACAGTGCTACATTAAAAAATTTCATCTGAAAGACTTAGGTATGGCCTTGATCAGTTTCTGAACTGCACCTGTGGTAGTTTTTTGTTGTTTTTTGACCCCATTAGTAGATGTTATTAATTAGATTCATATTAGGATGTCTGAACAGATGTCACCTTCTATTATCAGAACACAGAGAATAAATATTAAAAAAAAAACTAAACTCCTTTGAATTAAACAAATACCGAGTGACTAATTATGAAGAAACAGTGCCTTAGCAATAAATCTTAATCAATATTCATACTACGCAAAACTGAAACAGCTTGCTGAAGGGAACATTGCTTCTACAAAGATTTGCTTCATCAGAAACCAGTAATTTTTAGGGTCCCACCGGCATCTATATGACTACTCAAAAATACCAGCTAGGACTAGATAGAGCTATTTATCTTCTTGGGGTAAAAAAACCCACCCAAACCCACAAGTTTTTCTTTTTGCAGCTGATAAACCACAAAAAAAGGTACTCCTGGCACTGTTGCAACATAAGAAGTATTTCTGATATTGACATACATTAGGGAGTTTACCGTACACTTTAACACAACGTTATCATTTACTGAAAAAGGCTCACTTTAGAGAACAGCAAAATGCATTTCCTCATGCACAATCCTTTTCCAGCGGCCTGAGCCTTTGAACTGTTCCAAGCTTATGCAGTCACCGCTACTTGTGTAAACAATGACCTTTACTCAGGCTGAATGGTTGAAAGCATGAACTCAGATTACCTTAAGAAATGTTTTCCATGACACCTTCTCATAGCACTGCACAGGATTTCTAAAATAATCTTGAAGTGACCAGAATTTTCTATACAGGTTATAATCTATTGGAATGGAACTGTGGAAAAAATAATGAAAAAAAACCATACTGAAATGCAACATATTATATTCAAGTTCACACAGGAATGTACAGCCCCAGAAAATATCATTCATTTTGTAAGTAAATTACTGAGTCAGTAGTGAACCACCACAGAGAAATGTGTAACTCAGAATTTCTCCTTGTAGGAGTTTTCCCTTCAGTCTATTATTACTTTCTTGCCATAAAAGCAAAAATTGTACACAAAAGGGATCTTAGGATTTTTTCACTATCTGTGGCATGAAGGGGAACACAGCTTTTTCTCCTTAAGTATATACTCAAAATCCCTGGATACATCTTATCGCAAGAAATTTTGTGAAGGGAATTTTGAAAATTGTCGAAAACAGAGTAGTTCTCTGTCAGGGTATATAACTTTTTCAAATCTGTACATTTCTGTCTTACAGGCAACTTAAATAATTAAGACATTGCCAGGAGCCTTCACGGATTAGATATATCTAATCTTCAGAGGGCAGGAGATGGGAAGAATTTGGACAACAACAAAAAATATTAAAGATATTTCCCAAACAGCTTTTTTCCTTCACTTCATAAAGCTTTTGTTTCAGCTTTTCAATTTCTGTCAGCTTACCAACTTGTTGGTGCTTCATCATCTCCCATTTCACCTTCTTCCACATCAATTCCCTCTTCCCTCTCCTCAGTGTGCTAAACAGGAAAAAATTATTTAAGATTTATATAAATGCCACTACAGTTTGTACAGAGTTCTCACACTGCTGTTTACTGTAAATATTCAATTACATATTAGATCAGAAAGCTTAAGATGGTAACTCAAAGATCTCTTTAGTATTATTACTGCAATATGTGCAACAAATTCCTGTCTTAATCCAATAGTAGCCTCACTTCTCCTGAAAAAAGCTGAAGAGACAGCTCTGTCCTCTGCATATTGTGGGGAAAACTTTGCACAGTAAGTGACAGTGCTCATTCCTCACAATCAAACCCTTCCTTTACCCCCTCACAGTGCACAATTTAATGTTCCAGGTAACATGGCAATTCCCAAAACAACAGCTTGGTCTGGCAGAAGGACAACCAAATGATGAACCTACAGTCCCAAACACTTTATGTGCAAACAATCTTATATGTTTACTGCAGAATCAGTGAAAAATGGCATAGGAATTTTCACCTTCTGTCCCAAAGTGCTCTCATGTTCATTGGTATTGAAAACAGTGACATTTTCCAGGTTAAACTGACTCTGTAGGTTAAGCCCTGTGAAAAACAAAGAGTAAGTCTTAAAAGCTGTGAAGTTCCCAAGTCCGTTTATGAAATGCTGATACTCAATTCTTAGAGCATTCAACACTTACATTTGAAATCAAAGCAAATAAAAGTCACAACATCAAGAACAGACACAAGAACTAGGATACAAGTGCAAAGTGATTTGGTCCTCCTGGATTTGGTCTGCAACCATCATAAATTTAAAAGGTCCAGCTTATTTAGTCTCGATGTTAAGTGTGATGAAATGCAAAAAATCTCACCTGACTTTTCTGAAAGTGGAAATAACCTAGCCAAGAACAGCTGAATTCTTCCACAAAAGACAGTGTTTTGTGACTTAGATAATCTTCTTAGGAGGTCTAAATATTGTAAAAAGTAAAGAATATTAGTATTTATTCCTCTTTTCATTTCTCATGTAACAGAATTCAAGACTTGCTGATTACGTGACCATCAGAGTTAATGAAATTATATGTAATGTAATGGTATGTTATTGTAAATTCAAATGCCAGTGACTCCCTCTGACCTTACATATTTCTTCCAAATGCATTCTACCAATTCTCCTAACACCTTCAATACCAATAAAAAGTTTGAATGAATCCTACTCAAACATAGCCTTGGATACAGCCCTTGTCATTGCTGAGGAATGATATTCTTCTATAATGATCTTCACTGATGAGTTCCCTGAGGTCTGAACAACTTTTACATTAATAATCAAGAATGCGTATCTGTTGAATGATGCGCCTTTTAACTTTATTACTTATTGAACACATCTGAATTAAAATCAAATTATTAAACTAACTTTCATTTGCTGAGATAGGAATTTTTTTAATACTGCTCCCCCTTCCCTGAAAAACTGCCACTCACCATTGCACATGCGAAGCAAGTAATTTTTCCCTGCAGAGTAAAATGTGTTCTGAAACAGAGTAAAGGTATTTAGAACATTAACAGATCACAAAACCTTCCTGAGCAGATTTAATCCAAGCACAAGATATGAGTAAGTATGAGACACTCCTACAGATAATTCTAAATTTGAGTCTTCCCTTATATAACAGCAGGTTTCACAAAAAGGCAAGTCCCACAAATTCCAAGAAAGTGTAAAACACATTTACATCCAGCCTCCATAAAGAAAAACCACGTGTGACAGTGAACTGTAAGAATACCATCCACTCTTTTTTCTCAGAATACACAAATTTTTACACTAATTTCCTTTATTACTCCATATATGATTGAGGGCAAATTTGGAAGGAAATTTTTTCACAAACCAGTAGGGGGAGGGGCTGCTTGAATCTGCTTCCTAGAGGGACCCCTTCAGAAGTTTCCTCCCAGATTTGCCCTAAACCAGGACAATGATTTATACAAATAAGCAAAGAGAACACACAATAGATTTACAGTGTTCAGAATACTGGTGATCTGGAAGGAGAAATTGGTAGACAGTTGAATTAACAATGAACACCAGTTTGTGAATGTATCAGGGGCCATAATGTTATCTGAAACAAACCAGCCTGAATTACTATGGGAGGAGGTTCTAGTCCTCCCAAAGGAGGTTCTAGAAAATCCAGGTTAGGAAAACACTGAGACAGCAGCAATCTCTGGAGCTCCTGACACTTATGTGTCACTTACAAAGACACTTAAATTTTGTTCATTAAAGTGGTTATTGTAGACAAAAGCTTTGGCCAAACGATGGAACATTTTGCAAAAATACCTACCGATTTCCACGTTGCAACATTTTTCTCCACAAAAGTGAAAATTTTGTCACACTGATCCAAAGGGAGGCAATCCAGAACATCCCCCAAAAGCACAAAAGGAGTTGATGCAGTGCAGATACCTATGAGAAACAGGGAATCTTTTATTCAACAATCTGAACCAAAATACAAAACAAAGAGATGCATTACACTTGAGGGACGTTTTATTAAAACAAGTAGAAGAAAGAAGTTCTTCTGAGTTCCTACAAATCCTAACAGAAAACTTGGGCTAAAATGTGAACTTTCCTTAAAGCTACTTGTACACATACTCAAACGAGATTTGCAAAAGCTCTGCACTAACGTAAAACAAATATTAAAAAAAAAATCACTGTTCTAATGAAGTCAAAGTCTGAAATAATGCCACATCTTTTTGCAGACTGTAAATGAACTCTTTCAGACTTCTGAATCCAGTTTGTCCCACTACACACACCCATGAAGCCTGAGAGCCTTTTCAAGCACCACTAAAACTTTGCTTCAAGTCCATCCACCCATGGTCTCTAGGCAGTGGCTGCGTTCCTCATAGCACAGCTCTTATTATTCTACAGCTCATAAAACATACATGTAGTTGACCTATACTTACTAAAACCAACAATTCTTGATGAATAATGTGAACAAATAAACAAAAGGAAGACAGCAAAAGTGACTTCAGAAGAGATCAGCACAATGATTTCTGACACAATCTGTTACTGAAACAGATTCAAGCATCTAAAAACCAGCCCTATACTGAAAGGAGATGAGCACAGCTATCCAGGAGATGCTATTTCTGCCTTGGCCAATTCATCTTACCTCTCTGCATCAGTGGTCTCATCTCTGAAATTATGATGGGAAACTTCTAATTATTTTAGAGTGCTGGACAAAGAAACTGCTAATCATACTGCAACCAAACCTGTTCATCTTTCTTTATTAACAACAACAAAAAGGTTCCATCACAAATGTCACATATATAAACAAATTTAATTATATTATACTTAATTTCTCTTCTGAAACAAACCCAAGCTTACCAACCACTAGCATAAGAGACATATATTAGTAAAGGCAATTGCAGTAGATGACTTACAGAAATCAAGATTTTAAAATTCCCCTAAATGGTCCCTAAAACTGCCAATATATTTGAAAGAGAGATGCTCACCTTCTGTGACTCCATTAATGGCAAGAGAAATAATTGCCAGGAGATTCTCACACGGAGCTTTGTTTATCTAAACAAAGAAAACATTGTTGAAATTGTCTAGTCTGACCATAATGTATCTAACAAAACTAAAATTCTTGTTTCCAAGTAGGCATATTTAAAACAAATACTGACATTCAACTTTCCAAAACAATCTATGAAATCTGATCCATCAGTTAACTGTAGTAAGTTCTTATTGAGTATGAAACCCTTCCTGACTGCTTCCAGGCACTAAAGATCCAAATGCACAGAGAATCATATACCTCTGAAAATTAGTACCCCACATTCAGACTTCATTCAGGTATTATTTGATCATACATTATTTGACTTCTTTCATCATTCTTTTCAGCTGACAAGCTTTGTTACATGTTAGTAACAAATCACAAAATAGTTTTGATTTGAGGAGGCAAAAGATCTCATTGTTCAAACCCCCCTGCCAGGGGCAGAGACACCTTTCACTAGACAGATTGATGAAAGCCCAATCCAACCTGACCTTGATCATTTCCAGGGATGGGGCATCCACAACATCTCAGGATAACTTTTTCCAGTGCCTCACCACATTCACAGTGAAGAATTTCTTTCTGACATCTACTCCAAACCTACCCTTTCCAGACACTCAAAGTACACTTATTGAACAATGCGTATTTACAAATTAGAATTTTAAGATGTAGCAGACTTCCATAAGCATTACAAAGAACTGCTAGAAAAGGCTCAGACAGCAGCTCTTACCATAGCGTGATGTCTGCAAAATACAAGCTTCTACCAATCTCCTTGGATCATCTGTATTTAATCTCAATTATCTCACCATGACATAGTTCCTGTTTTTAATAATGTTTAAGTGTAAAGTGTACACTAAAGTAAGTTTCTGTTACATTAATATACTAGCCTACTAATAGAAATTTGAGGTTCAACAAGAGATAAGCTTCAGCAGTTTAAAGTACTTACTATTTCTTCTTCTACAACAACTCTAAAAGCCTGATCCAAGGTACACTTCTTTTCATTTTCACTGCAAACGCAAACATTACACCTTAGTTAGTAACAAGCCTCAGGCACAAGATTTAAAGTTATCTAAATAGGCATTTTTAAAAAATCAAGTGGCCTTCACTTACCTTCCAGGAACCTGGTTAAATGCATTCAGCAACGGCTTGATGCTTTTGTTAATCAGAGCCTCTCTGGTGGATGTCTACCAAAATGCAAAGAAAGAAAAGCTACAACACCAGCACAAAACTAAAAGAATCTTCCCTCTTCTTCTGATAGTGGACAGAAATACTAAGGAATCTTTCTGCTACACACCATGTGTTAGTTTACAGAGAGGAGTTTGTAACAAGAAGGGCAAATAACAAGCATATAGGAAATTAGGCATGTGAGCTAGTAGAGCATCATGCCTCAAACCTGGGCTTACAGTGCTCTGAAAACAGCATTTCTAAATGACACACAGAGGATCACTCTCTTGTAACCAACACTGGAGCTGTCATTGTGTCATGTACCACACTCACAACTTCAGCTAGTTAAGGTGGTTTGGGACATAGACTAGAGAATACTCTGAGTCGGAAGGGACCCACAAGGATCATCGAGTCCAACTCGTGGCCCTGCACGGGCAGCCCCAAGAATCACATGTGCCTGAGAGCCTCTCTGCGTTCACGGGAGTTAACAGCTCCTCCCAATTTTCTATCACCTACAAACTTGCAAGTCCTGAGTTTATGAAAATGCTGACAAGCACACAACTCCTGCTAAGAAGATAGTCTAAAAATTACTATTTTCTGTTACAAAATCGCTCTAATAGGTCGAGTGCTTGTGCCTCGAGCACTTCTGTGCAAATCCCATCTTCCTGTCTGACAGCCTGGCTCGCAAACGCCGGGATCCAGAGGCCTGGGTACGCACGCAGCCCCCAGTTCTGGGAAAGGAAAAGCATCCTTCAGCAGAGGCACAGCGGCAACAAGCGTAATACGCCCTGTCGTTTTGCTGCGGGGGGCACGCCACACTTTCACGGTCTTTTACATTAATTTTCGCTAACCTGAAGCCTGATTATCCCCTCGGCCGAGCCCGCCCTCACTCCCACACCGCCACAGCTCGGCCGCGCTGAGCGCTCCATAAAGGAGCAGGCCCGGAGGCGCCGAGGCACAGCCCGACCCCCGCAACTTCCTGCCCGCCCAGCCCCCGTCCGAGCGGCAGGGATGGAGGGAAGGCAGGAGGGACGGAGGGAAGGTCAGGAGGGAGGCGGGGGAAGCTCACCGTGAAGCGGAGCCGCGCCTCAGGCAGGCTGAAGAGCGGCGGCGACATGTTTCCGGGCGGGCGGCGCTGCGGGCGCGCGCCGATGACGCCATGGCTCCCGCCCGCCCGGCGGGAAGAGGGAGGGGCGCGGGCGCCATCGGCTGTGGCGGCGGGACGGTCCTGGGATCTCCGAGTCGTGGAGAGGTTTGGGTTGGGAAACAGCTTCGGGATGGTCGTATCCAGCACTGCCGGGCCACCCCAAACCACGTCCCCAGGGGCCACATCCGCACGCTTTCTGAACGCTTCCAGAGACCGTGACTCCACCGCTTCCCTGGACAGCCTATTGCAATGCGTGGCGGCTCTTTCAGTGAGGCGATTGTTCCTGATATCCGACCTAAAACTCCCCTGACACAACTTGAGGGCATTTGGTCTGGTCCTGTGACTTGTTAACCTGGGAGAAGAGGCCGACCCCCAGCTGGCCACAGCCTCCTCCCAGGTGGTGTAGAGGGTGGTGAGGTCTTCCCTTGATGTCCAGGGGTTAGAAGGATAAATTACTTGTCGGTAGAATTGCCCTGTTGAAGTTTAGTATTTGACATGTTTCAATGATCTCGGACGCGTGGAGGCTAACAAAGCTTGGAGACAAAGGATGTGCCATTGAGAGTGGACACAAAAGAATGCAGAATACACAGGCCACCAGTGGCAGAACTCCCGAAATAGGGATGGAATTAATAATGCCTACTCAGCAGCTGTACTGAAATCGGCTGGGGCTGGGTAAAAGGTAATTCTGACCTCCCAAAAGGGAAATTGTGACCAGTGACTCAGGAGAAGGCCTGACCATACAGACTAATAAGCATGAGAGGTGAGGAAATTGTTTAACCAACAATACAAATACAAATGAATAAGAGAACTATGTAACTTGTAGCCAGTGAACATTAATGCCTTTGTTCGCTAAAGCGTATAAACAGTGAAACATCTTGGTAGTCAGCATGCTGCCTTTGTGGATTTGCCACTCGGCACCCTTCTCTGCTGAGGACTGTAAATAAATACCTCGACTCAGTTTGTGGATTGGCTTGTTGAAAGGTGAAAGAGCCTATTTTGAGCAGCAGCCTGAGCCTCCTTTTCTCCACTTTAAACAACCTCCCTTAGCCTCTCCTAATTAGACTTACGCCCTTCATGATTCACTGTTGCCCAAGTGGAAATTACTCTACAGATGAAGCTGCTGGTTATTTATTTTTTCTCATAAACAACGGTAGACCACAGTCTCCCACCATTTTCAAAGTATCACTGAAGTAAAAATTATTAGGGACTTGAATACCATCATTAAAATCACCTCAGTGCTGACAATTTACAGGTTGAGCAATATCCTACAGATACCTCCTGAGTGACAGAAATATTTCCAGTACAAATTATATTTCTCATGATCGTAGAACCAGAATCGTGGAATTGTTTGGCTTAGAAGGGACCTCCGAGTCTGGCCAAAAGCTCCGGTTCTGCCAGACTCTTGTTCAGTAGGTGGGAAAAAGCTCAGGCATCCAATATTCCCGCCCATATGGGAAGAAGCGAGCAATATTAAAATTAAATTGTCATTATTAAATGAAAATACTTAACGCATGAAAGGATAGATAGGAGTATGTGGGGAGTTCTATGCTGTGGTGTGGCTGTAGTTAGCTTTTGTACCGGGAGAGGGAAGTGTTTGCGCAGAAAAGGAAGCTGCAGCGGGAGGGGCAGCTTGACCCGAGCTGGTTCCAGGCGCTGCTCCGCTAATGGGGTGGTGGGGACACCCTGCCAGCCCAGAGTTTGTCACCTCATCTATAACTGAAACCATTGTTTGACACTGCCTAAAAAATGTGGGCTGTGCCAGAGCCATGCCAATTCGTTTCGAACCGTGGGAAAAGGGGCTTCATAGCATTGAAAATAGGCTCCGCATGATCTGTCTTTTGGAGTGAGTCACCTGCGTGTGCTGTGAGACTTGCTGAATGTTGTTAATTCAGGCTTGGGAGAAAGTTGACTTCCCCCCCCCCCACTCCCCCCCACTATTTCTCATCTCTTACTTTAATAAATTAAATATTATTATCAGCTGAATAAAGGGCCATTCTAAATGAATGATTTGAGATTATTTTAGCCCCCATCCCTTGCTGTAAGAAAGAGAACCAAAGAAGACCTCTCTGAATTGGTTATAAAAAAGCTTTAAACTTTAAAAAGATGTTAGAAAGTGAAAGTAGAAGTGTTCTAAGGAGATACCGCTAAAGGAAGCGGAGTCTTTTTTTGATTATAAATATTCCTTAAGCCAAGACTAATGTTTTAGATGAACAGAGAGAAGAACTGCCAACATACTGAAAAGAGCAGTGCAATGTATTTGTTAATGAGTACAACATGACTGAAGAATTTTTTTTTCTTGGGGTAGGAACAGATAAAGAGGGAGAGCAATGTTAGCACTGTCATTTAATAGTGATTTATGGCCACCTCTTGTTCTACACCGATTTTTTCCTGTTTGGAACGGTGTTTGTTACTTTCTCACGGATCTCATGCAGAAGGGGGTATGATCGCTGTGGACAAATGAAGAAGCTCTCACCGCAGCAGCGGCTGTGCACCCCGGGCAGAGACCGCCCCTTCAACAGCCATGTCAGCAGCGTGGCACTTCTGCTTGCCACGTGGTGGTGTCACCGTGCAACATCTGACAACATCGCTTAAAGCCATCCTCACCACCTGCTTAACAAAGGTGCCAAACTGTGCTCTGGGCTGGCAGACAAAAAACTGGTTTTGGGGATCAGAAAGTCAATTAAAGGAGTAGTGCTGCGTACCTGTAAATTAAAATGCCGCAATTATCCTGGACATAAAGAAGAGTCAGTGGTATTATTAATATCGCTAATTATAAATTAAATAGCAGTATGTTAGAAAAAGCTGTATGTGCTAGGTGAGAAGCTAAGGGGGAAAAAAGAAGTAAATATTGTTTTCTGTAAAAGTATTGTAAGCAGAATACCTTTTCAACCCAGATTGAAAGCTATCACCAGCTGAAAGCACAGATGGATGAAAGCAATCAACATCAACAGTATCTCAGGACACCTCTGTACTCAGAGGCCAGTTGATAGAACAGATGTTCTATTGTCTTATTTCAAGAGGCTGTGTAGCTGGAATTACAAAAAACTTCACCCAGATGCTGTTTTTTGGAGTAAAATCCTGTTCCAAGACCAATTTGAGTTTCCATTTTAATTTCTATTACTAATCCTGCAGAAGGGCATGTCTGGAGACTCTGAAGCCTCCCATCTCTGATGGCACTAGGGCTTAGTGCTTTGCTCTCCCTCCTTCATTGCCAGCCCTCATGCTTAAGTGCTTCTCTTCTCAACCCATGTGCTTCCCCACCACCTTGCACACCCTCCAGTGTGGAAGTACAGGCATGAAAGGTGGATAAATTGCCTTAGGACCCTGCTTGAAATAGCTTACCTGTTATTTCCAAACCAGTCATGGGAAGTTGCACAAGGCAGTTTTATCTTTTAAACATTGATGAATACAAGGTGTCCTACCTTAGGCACCTAATTTTAAGGTGGCATCCTGCCAGCCACTGTAGTTTGTTACTGACTGTGAGATACAGTTAATAATGTGTGGACTGATGAAGGAGAAGCTAGATTAACATAAAAACTAGCCCCTCAGGAAAACTTAAATAGCATTTTTATAAAGTGAATAATAGAGAATCTTTCTGCCTTTTATTAGTGTATTACATTATTCACCAGAATATACATATAACTTTTATGTTTGTTAAATCTCATGATTATGTTCTGGTGCATTTAATACTTTCAGGGTTTCCTCTCGATTTATTGAATAAATTGCTGGGAAATATATACCATATGATCTCATTCTCTCATACCAGTTACAGCAGAAATGTTTTACTGATACATTTTGTATTTTGGTGGCATTTTTCAAATAATTTGATAAGAGTGCCTAGGAAGGGTTCATTTACCTGGATTCACCTAGAAGACTGCTTCACATGTGAATCTGAGAATGACTGATTTTTCTACTCCTCATTTTTTATCTGGGACATGGGACTTGCTGGCATAGAACACCTGGAATACTGCCAGGTATTATACTTTATTTATATAATTTATATCAGCAGAGATGCATTCAGGAAAAGCCCTGCCGAGGCTACGAAGCAGGAATTCATCCAAAATTCTCCCCAGACAAGGCAAATTATCTGGGTGAAGTTTTTATATGAGAAGTTATACTGTCTGCTGCTGTATCTCTTCTGCACCTCAGCACAGGGCATAATTTAAAGGAAGGGATCCTTTAGTACACTTGCTGCATGATCACCACGTGCTGTTTTCACATGTTGGTTCTCCTTAACAAAGAGTGAAGAAAGAATGGGAAAATATTTAAAAATTGTAGTGAAATTCATTATAATATCTTAAAATATCTAAGGTCTACAGCTAACAATTTTATTAAGATACTTGAAAAAAAAACCAAAAAGCATAGGGAGGACCAGCAGCAAACAGTGCATGTCACATCTCCCAGTTCACTTTATGAATATGTTCCTTTCTAATAAATCTATGCTTGGGTTTTGTTTTGGGTTGGTTTTTTTCAACACTGCAAAACCCGTAAGTTCTCCATACCCAAATGGAAGTTTGTAAAGTACCTAGCTCTTGGGGGACCTGTGTTTCACCTCAGCCTGCTGCTCTCCAAATGTCATTCTAGATTGTTCATACAGGGGGTTTTTGTGTCCCCCTCTCAGACAGACTGTGGCTGGAAACTGCCAGCTTATGACAACTGATGACATTCTTTAAGGGCCATCTGAAGACAAAGTGGAAAAATCCAGCCATCTCCATGTGTAAATTCTAACTAAGGCATGTGTCATTGATAAACTTCGCTATTGGGCTCTCTGTTATACTTTATTTATATCAGCTTAAAGCCTGAAAGAATGTCGTTTTGGCTGCCTTTCAAAACCTGAGAACTGAGCATATGTGGATTCATTGGAAGGGAAATTAGTCACTCTTATTGCTTTAGAGAAACCAATCACTTTAAAATCCCTGGAACATCAATATGCCTCCCCATGATAAAAATGCCCCAGAGGTTTTCTTGTTTCGAACTTCTCCTTAGTGCAA